CCCCCCCCCCCCCCCCCCCCCCCCCCCCCCCCCCCCCCCCCCCCCCCCCCCCCCCCCCCCCCCCCCCCCCCCCCCCCCCCCCCCCCCCCCCCCCCCCCCCCCCCCCCCCCCCCCCCCTATATGTGCCCTCAAAACTATGTCAGCTTGAAGAGGACCCCTGATTACATATATCCTGCAGTTTTTTCGATGAACTGATAACTATTCACCGAGTTATTAATTCTCATTTTAAAAAACTTGTAGCTCAGTCAAAAATAATCCTAGAAAAGTCATTCATGCATTGCATTGTTTGATAGCCAATGGTCTGTTGTTACCTGACGAAAAAGGTTTTTTAAGACAATAGTTTATAATTAATCAATGTTAATTAATACTAATTAATATCACTCTGGTGCCTTACCATTTAATTTGAAAATTAACAGTTTACTAGAAACGGTAAAGTAATAGGTCATTCGAGAGAAATTTCCAAACGCTACAAATCCCTGTATTTAGCTCTTCAAAATGTTACCAATAAACAGTTATTTATACTCGGTTTTAGGTAAACGGGGTTTCTACTACGGATTTCTGTATAGAGCTGCCATGGATGTTTTTTGAATAACTCGAGAACAAACAGAAATAGAGAGTTCGGGTTTTCAGCATTTTGTAGAGAAGGCTTTACTCTATCTTCACATATATTGTGCACAAAAAGTCTCTGTTTTTTAGGTGGTGTACCTGACTGATGAACAGGTTGCCAGATTCTGAACCTCCGCTGAATTTTTAATTGTAACACAGTGGCTAGATAGTCCAAAGTGCTCTCTACACTTGTGCGCAAGGCCGACCACTCTATCTGTTGTGGGATTAAAATTTATTGATTGTGACAATAACTGGATTTTGGAATTCCTTGTTGCAAGGATACGCACCCCAAAACCTTGCCACGGATTCTGACTACGCAAAGCATATCTCATAAAAACTATTGGAACAAAGTTGTTCCCTATGAAATTTTTTTCTTGAAATTCCGTCCCGCTTATTCCGTGCAGAATGACATCAGCTACAACTTTGTCAGGGAAATTTTTTCTCGGAAATTCTTTGTTATCGCGCAATCGCTGGCAACATTTTCAAAAATTACTTTTCATGCTTAAAAGTAGAAAAACACTCTTTTTACAATGTTTCACTTAAAAAGCCTATGTCGCTGGAAAACTTTTCAAACTTTTAAAGCTTATTATATACAACCAAAGATTGTCTACAAAATAAGTCTACCGCGATGTTGATCGGACATTCCAATAAAATCAAATGAATTATTTCACAATACCATCGAAATCGAAATTTTAATTAAAATTTAAAATTAATTAATTAATAACTCTGTGAATAGCTATTAGTTCATCGAAAAAACTGCAGGATATATGTAATCAGGTGTCCTCTACAAACTGACCTAGTTTGAAGGCGCATTTTACCTGAAACTCTGTGCAACTGTGTTTGTACCTATAGGTGAAAAATCCCATAATTTTTTAAGAAAAATTCTTACTAAGGTCCGCACACGATCGCGCATGAAATGATGAAAATTGATCGGCAAGCATAAGTAAAAAATTTCTTCTACATTTTCCAATATTAAGTTGGCTCAGTGGTAACTTTACGGATTTGCAATTTAAAGTGCCTTGGGTCGATTCTTAATTTCAGGAAATGTATACCTCGAAACCCACAACTGTCTCACGTATGACCACGCATGAAGATTGTTCGCTTATATACACGGGCGCGGATTTTTTATACAAATTTTTCCGCTAAAATTTTCGTGAAGCATCTGCGCGCATATATACAAATGAACAATCTTCACGTGTGCACACGCATTTGATGTTGCGAGTGCACGACCCCGAAGTCGTGAAACTTGCTGTCTTTACCTAAACAAATTTCGTAAAAGTCCAAGCTGACATTTCATGATCCCTCACGCGTGAAAAGTCGATAAAATTTCCCCATGGGCAATCTCGATAATTTTCTAATTCAAAATACAACCTTTTCAATTTTAGCTACTCGTATTTTGGGATAGAAAACAAGAGTAGATCAAACGGAACTAAATGTTAAACTACCATATAAGAAGTCTGTCAGTCTGATAACGATTTTCAAATGAGCGCGAGACCTTTTGCATGATTATTTTTTCAAATCTGTGCTTAGAAACAGAGCTTAGGAGCCTTGTACGACTAAATTATTACGTCTTCAACTTTTTCAAGTTTTAAGGAAAAGCAAAATTAAATTTTGTTTTCATAACATAGCTCTTGTTCGTACCACATATAGCGACACCTATCGCATCATATATCTGTCATCACGACCAAATCGATAAATAAAACTGTAAATAAACTTTCACGTATTCTATTTTATTTCATAGTTTTGTGCAAGCGTTTAATGTCATTTACGTCAAGATAGAAAATGATGGCGATATGCTGACTTTTTAACTAATCGAAATTATCCCTCTCACAAAGACTACGATGTGTACTCTGATTAGGTTATACACCGGAACTAACATAAACGCTCGACTACTCTTGATATGAACTTAATCCTAGTATATATTTGATGCCTACTGTTGATCTAATCTCTTTAGTTTTGTGTCCTTTATCTGATGAAAAAAGGTAACTGACCGAATTTTCTGCATTCAGCCCCGGTGTCATTTAGTAGTGTCGTAAACATATACTATTCACATTTATTTTCAGCTGTTAAGGTTGTACACTTCGCAACAAATAACAAAGCGTATGCGATGTAGTTGGTTTTTCTACCTTTCATATGCTTCGCACTGGCCACATATGCGATGATCTAAAATTTTTGATGACAGCATCTCATAAGATTCTCTAATCGACATGGGCCTGTCTAATCTACGTGTTTTTATTAACCAATCGATCGGTTTGATTTTTATTTTAAATTAATGGAGGGCGGTGTTTCGTGTTTGAAAGATACTTTGTGCATTTATAGTCCTCATCTGCATCTGCAGAATTCTCAAAGGTTTTTTTTATAGTTGTGGTGTCTCACTGAGCCAAAGATTTTTCCTTTTCTTCCTCAGATGTGTATTTAAGCTAAGAACTTACAGCGTATTAACTGCGTAAACAATACGTTTACTTTTAGGATCGATTGAACCTTACCAAGAAAGAAAACTAGAGATAAAGTCTAACATAAAAATTCATCCAAGGTAAAACAGAAAGGTATGACTTTTTGAAAAATTCTTCAAAAACATCAGACGTATTTCCCTATTACTGTTAGTCTGAATAAATCTTTCTTCCAGGCATCTGGTCAGAAAAACCTTGGATTTGTAAAACTAAGAATTAGAGGTGTGTAAAAAATTTATCATGTACGCAGATAAACAATAGTGAGAATATCTTTCTTTTGATTTTTGTTTTATTTTGTAGTGGTGAAACTTCACTTACTTTTTCAAGACAATAGAAACGTTCAGTAGTTCCCGATAAACCTTTGGTAATTCGTGCTTATCTAAAAAATTTGATAATATTTTTAGATAATCTGTAGTTTGTTGCGTAGAATGGATAATGATATTTTTTCCTCAACAAAATTACATGGTAGCAATGATGTAACATTACACAACAGTAGTAATACAAGTACAACGGATGCATTAGCTAATTCAGAAACATTATTATTATCAGAAACTGAACAGTTAACACCGATTGAACCAATATATAAGAAAAATATTGTGAAAACGCCTGAAAGTGTTAATAACAGTGATAATCCAGTATTAAATAACGCTATAAGTGAAACAACAAACGGTATTGTTATTAGCAATGGAAATGATGATGATGACATAGTCGAGAATGGTATTAATGGTGAGGATGATAATAGAACGACGGTCGATGATGTCTATCATGAAGGGTAAGATTCTCAGAGTTACTAAAAGTGACTGGTTGATGAAAAACTTTTTGTGTGCTAAGAAAGCAAGACAGCAAAGATGGTATACATGGCAACAGAATGAATTGTTTTTGTTGTGCTTTAATGTTCTATATAAAAATGAGGATGAAAAATTAAGAATTTACGAAATCTCTCTGGGCTGAGTTTAGTACATGTAGATGCCTATAACCCATCATTTAGTGAACTGTTAGCAATTTTTTGTTTTCTCATTTAGAAATCCAGCATTGAACAAATCATTCGATGTATTACCGCTATTAAAGAAAGAAGATGAATATGTAAGTATAAGATGCATGCGTTTTTGCTAAGGATATAATTATCACTGCTAACTGTATATAACGGATATGCCAGCAGAAAAATAGCATCCTATATATTTTGCATAACTTTTTAACAATTGATACTCAAAATTTAACTTTATATAAAAATAGGCCTTGAAATCCTCTACAGAAAGCGTATTGAGTGTTTTATTTTATAATGTAAAAGCAAAAGTTATACGAAAAATACTGACAAGCTTGAAAATAAGTCAACTTTTTTCCGGAAAATTCATATTTTTTTAACGTACTGATGCAGGAATAAACTTGAAGACGACAGAATCTCACTTTATGTGTACTAGATGCGACAGTGCCGAAGTATGAGACAAATGGCTGAGAGCAGTGCGAAGTAACTATAAAAATACTTGTCAACAAAAGCATCAATTTTTCAATCCCCTATCGTATCACTTCTTCTTTCCAATCTTTTACATACAGTTTTCAACAATGTTCTTGATTTTAATGTTCTTTCGTTAAAATAACCGGCGGCATCGACTGCGGTTCTTTCCATTCAGATACCAAGGAAAGGGTCTGTTTTAAATGTTCGTTAAGAAAAACATTAGTTTAGAATAACCAATATGATTGGATAAATGAAAAGAAAAAAGAGAAAGCTGTTAAGAATGGTTAATAGAGAATACTTCGATTCATCATCATAGTAACCCATGTGTTTTTTTACCAGGTCAATGTTCTTGATACGACTGTTGAACTACCCGACAGAGAACAATTGGAACCAGAAGTGTCAGGTATAACTCTCACTTAATCGTTGATCAATCAGCTCTTGTAATTTAATTATACAGATGAATTTGTTACATTGTCTCCCACATCAACAACCACACTTGACAGGACGATGGAAGTTAAGAATGAAATACGTTCGCCTGGTCATGAGCGATTATCATCAAAAGTTTCAGGTAAATGACAAGCAATCACTTCTCCTATATTTATATTAGTACTACCTTACTGCGTTTTTTTTCAGTTGAATATCCTTTGGTACAAGACTCCCATGATCCTCCGAATGAATTGGTTAATGGCTTATCAAATATGACATTACAGTCAAAGCCTGTTGGTGAGTGTTTCTCATGTTAATTATTTTCATTTCTCAATATTGCTGTTTTCATTTCATTAAGAAAATACACCGCCAGTGTCAGATATAAAACCAGCATTTGATACCAACACATTTGTATTGAAGAAAAAAGAGCGACGTAAAGTGAACAATGAAAATAGTTTAAATTTGGTAAGAGGATAAATCTTCTTCCTGCAGTAGAAGCTGAATTTTAACTATTTTTCTCTTCCAGGGTGCTGATGATTCAATGAGTGAATTCCCTGATTTATGCAACAAAGGATCACCATTGACATTGCATACCATGTCAAATGAACAACCACCACCAGCCCTTGATGATGCTCAAAGAAAAGAATTCATGTATGTAATAAAAAAGTAAATTGTTTCACTTGCTATTTTCTATCATTACCATTAACAAAAACAGTGTCATTTCTAAGTAGTTGAAACCATCACAGAAGTGTCGCATCAACAGGGGATTCTGGCGTCATTTCCATCCCATATGTGAAAAATTTTCTTTTCTCTCATAAAACAAAAGTTTTCGACAAATAACTCTTATCACTTTTAGTGAAATTGTTTTGACCTTCTCCAATATCTGAAGGATCGAAATTTTCTTCGTCAGCCTGTTAAGCTTCTTATTAAGAATATCTTATACCAACGTAATTGTTTTGATATAACAAGCTAGCTGATTCAAATTCTGTTTGTTGTTGAACCGCTTTTTTACTCTATCTGCCATAATAGATTAACCTATCCCTATATCATCCCTTAAAATTTTTTTAACCTTGTACTTTTTTTAAATGAAATAAGATATACTTATATCTCCTCTGAATTTTTCATCTTTTATGCAAAGAAGATTGATTTTTTTTCTGTAAAGAGTATACGTTGATGAAGTTCAATGTATACATGCCCATCTTCAATGGTTGAAGATGTATCTATGTATCTAATCTGTGTCAGGTCATTTATCAGTCCAAAACATTCTCTTACTCGCTCGTATACATGTAAGATTATTACAGGCTAGACTGAAACAGATCTCTTCTAGATCTTGTTTTACTAACAACGTTTAAATACCTTATTAGACTATACTTATTTACTACATATGGATGTGTTATTTGTTCAAACATGTACTGCGATTTATATTACAATCTTGTTTCGTTGTTTTTGTAAGGATCACTAATCGTCGTCAAGAAATAGACTTATCTAGAATATAAGTGTTATTGCTTCAGACATTCTAACGTAGCAGTGTTTTTTATTTTTATTTCATTACATCAAATAGGTATTATATACGATCGACATAAATATATTTTGATTCGTCCCCTTTCTTTCTAAATATTGTGCTCATGTTTGATTCTTTTTTTCTCTCCTTCGTCTGGCAAACATTTTTTCTTTGTTCTGAGTATGAATGAAAAAAAAGAAACCTTCAGTTGAATAAATTGATTTGTAATAGTAGTGCAATTCTGAAAGTGATACGTTCAAAGTCATGTTAAATGAAGAATCAATAAAATCGCCACCATTGCTTCCGCAAGACTCTCTTGAAACTCTGTTGTCACCAGTCGATGAGGAAAATGACCACCATCAGGATATAATGACTAAAACGCAAACATCATCGATGACTGACTTTCTAAAGAACGAAGAGAAAACTTTAAATCAACAACCAGAGCAATCTTCTTCAATACATGAAAATATGATTAAAAGCATAATTAACGAGAATGAAATGAATAAATCATCATTATTTCGTTCATTAATTGAACACAATGAATCAGAGAATGTTGATGATGAAGAAAAAAAACGTCGATCTCTATTAATAAGTAAACATTTAGAAGAAAACGAATCTTCATCGTCGAACGTATTAACTTCGTTACAGTCTGCGTTTGATGTTCTAACAAATTTGAGAACAATTCGAACAGTTGAAAATAAAAAACAACAGCAACAATCTATTCCCATTGATGATAAGCCACCTACCCGCATTGATAATAAGCCATCTACTCGTATTGTTGATAAGCCACCTACTCGCATCGATGATAAGCCGCCTACTATACCTCTAACAAATGATCATCTTAATTCATTTAGTGATTGTTTGGAAAGTTATTATCGTACATTATGGAATGTTTGTGCACATACTGAAGAATTAAAACGAGAATTAAGAATGGTTAAAAGTGAACGTGATCAATTGACAGAAGATTTAGTCAATGTTGAAAATGCCTATGCTGATTTACGAAAACGAAATGAAAAATTAAAATTAAATATTACTGAACATAAAAAGGTTTATAATTGTATTTTTTTCGTTTCAAACAAATTAGTAATGATGTTTTTGTGTACTACTTTTAGAACGTTGAAACTTTGAAACAATTTTCTGAAGAATCTATACGTTATACAGAAGAACAAAAACAGAAATATCAAGTACTTAAACAACATGCTCAAGAAAAACTAGATAAGTAGGTTCATCACGTCATTTAATAAATATTGTCTGATTAAGTGGAATTTTCAAATGTAATATTTATGATGTAGAGTTAACTAGATACTGCCTTGAGTTTGGATCTAAACTAAATGCATTAAAACGAGCATATCAAATAGGAAAAGAAGAAAATAGTTTTGTTTTCTAGTTTAAAAAATAGTACTAGTAATGAATTGAATAAGTACTACGATAAGATGTGAAGTCATCTCAACTGCGCTTAATATCGTTTAGAAGAGTTTTTATCAGATGTCGGCATATTGCGTTTATCTTTTGACATTGAAAAGCAAGTATAATTGCTGATTTTTGCTCTGTAATTAGCTGTAACAAAAAAATATATTTGTTTTGGCTCTCTGTTAGAATCATCTAAATATTTCAATTTCCGTTAGATAAATGGCTAAGATTGCTTCATGCTGATTTTTCTCATAGTGTATGACTTACGTTTTATGTATGTTTTAGAGCCAATGAAGAAATTGAAAAATTACGTCGAACAAATGCTACTGAGAGTGAAGGTGCACAAGCACAACTAAGATATGCACAATTACGTGTACAAAGTTTAGAGCAAGAATTACAATCAATAAAACAAGAATTACAACAAAAGGTTTGTGTACAATTTATACTTTTCATCAGAAATATTATAAAAAACATTGAACAGCAATTTTATTGACTAACTATTTGAAAAGAGAACTTATCGACGGTCTTTATAGTTTATCAGCGAACAAAGATTCATTTAATTCTTTTGTTTTTTAATCTTATTTCAGAAAAAAGAGAATACAGAATTAACAAATATTTGTGATGAATTATTAGCTACGAATCGACGTTAATCGTATACTGTTCGTGAATATACGTATGTATCTTTGGGCGATTTTTATGTATATACTAACAGAATTAACTATTTTTTTCGCTTTGATACTAACTTACTTTCGTTAAAAGTGTTACTCTTCTATTTTTTTGCTTCATTTTTTTTTATTATTATTGCTGCATTTGTTGCTCTCTTGCTCTTTCTCTCTTTCTTTGTTTAACAGAGAAATATGTTTATTGATTAAACGATCAATGCGCTATTTTTATGTTTGTATAGCGTAATTAGATGACTGTTCTGTTCTCTGTGCGTGTGCAAATTCGACAGACTGGTCTATTATTTTTTTTTTGGTAATCTCCTGTCCATCAATAAATGTGGGTTCTAAGATCTCAGTGATTTTGTATAATTTATCGTAGCCAAGAAAGTCACATGAACGAGAAATCGATTGTTTCCTACCTTAAATCATACATTTTTGAGTCCAAAACAATACCACAGCATCTGAAAATTAAACAGCAATGCCCCGATGGATTTTAGTCAACGTTGTATTACGTTGTAAACATTACAATAAGTTTTACATGAAAATAGTCTTCTTTTTTTTTATAAAAAAGACTCGATACAGAATGATGAGAAATTAATCAACTTAAACATTTTGTAAAATAGAAGAAAACCGTGTAGATGCACAAAGTTTCTCTCTTTCTTCCATTGTGTGCAGTGAAAGAATTTCGTCCCAGTCTAGTCTGTCTACTTGATCTTCGCGGTAGGTGTAGTTTATTTTTTTTTTTGCAATTAACATTATTTTTGTACTTTATTCTTGTTATTTACTTTGTGTATTGTTAAATAAAACAGGTCTTTTTTTTATTCGTATGTTTTCTCTTTCTTTACAAAATCAAAATTCGAAATAAAAATATATTATGAGAATATTTTTTTTGTTTTGTGTATCTGAATATACTCCAATCCAAAATGAACTGTTTTTAATATCTTCTAACCGGCTTACGTAGGCTGCCCGTGATTTATAAGTGTCAATTCAGAGTGTGTATGTAAAAAGAAAACCATTGACTAGAAATCGATTTACATTTGTCATAGATTACATGCTAGTCTAAATGCTAAGATCTGTCATAAACTAACGTAAATTTGTGCTTCATTGTTACTTTCTTTGTACATCAAATGATTTAAAAAAATTCTTTGTACAAAACGTGTACCAATGTTTCCAATGACGATGATAGATTTGAACAATTTAGTGAAAACAGTCGATGGAGTTTGTGAGAATTATAAAAAGTTTTATTGACATATAAACAAATAAAACTACATGATTTGAATGTTATTGTACCATTTATGAAATGAATATATAAAAACACGCATAAAATTAAATAATTAGTCCATTTTACAATGAAAAATTTTCATTCAGTTAATTGTACATGTCAGATTTTAAAACATTTTTATTATATGTAAAAACTGATTGATTATCGTTTATTTATAAGTTTTTGATTTTGTAAACATTTGAATAGAGAAATGAAACAGAAGTATTAATCTGATATTAAAAAGTTAACAAATTCATTATCAGTTTCGGTCAAATCAATGCAATTTTAGTTTCGTACTTAAAAGAACGATAACGTGTACCAGTTAATAGTGCACTCTTTCAGAAATTAATTATACTTCTGATATTGTATAAGATGGACGACATTTTGTTTGTCTTTACGAGATTATAACTCTGTACTTTTTTTTGCCTCTTCATTTCCTTCATTTTGTGTTATTTTCATAAGAAACTGTTATTTCTCACTGTCTATTGTTCATGCTAAATAACAGTCACCTACCAGTGATGTAACACAAAACGTTTAGAACATTCCTAACTTGTTACTCTCAAAATTCAATATTCCGTTATTTTCTTATTTTAAGTTCACATTTGAATTAAGTGCTAATACGTATATAATTAATTCTACTTTTTTCTTCAGATAAACTTTGTAGCCTTGTTGACAAAAATGCATTCATTTTTAAATCGATTGAATACGTTATTTGCTTTTACACTGACGGTATTAGCATTTTTAACAACTGGTGTATTTATATCAACATATTTTGAAAAGTATCATGCACCCATTGCAATATCAACAAGTAAAACACTTGTGTAAGAGAACGTCTTTTTTCTTGTTTACTCGTAAAGAAATATAGTTTATTTATAGAAAACATATGACCGATTATTCATCGAATAGAAAAAAAAATGATTTAGGTATATTACAAATTGATTTGGAATCAGGTATATACATCAGACTAAATTTTATATAAAAATATAACAGAAAAATTTACTTCATTTATTTAGATTTGGATAAATTATTCGATTGGAATGTGAAACAATTATTTTTATATTTGACGGCTGAATATACCACAGCATCAAATGTACGTATGTGTTATCATTTATAGAAAAACTTAAATAATATTTATTTGATGATTATTTTATTGTAGATTTTAAATCAGGTTGTACTCTGGGATAAAATAATTCGACGTGGTGAAAATGCACGAATGAATTTACATGAAATGAATCCAAAATATTACTTTTGGGATGATGGTGAAAATCTAAGGTGAATGATGGTGTTCAACAATGATAAATGTTTCTATCTTGCCCATTTGCCTGTAGCCAGAAGGCAGTTGAATGGATTCATGGCTTCTTTTTGATGAGACAATATTTACAGAATCTAGAATGAAAAAAGTTTTTAGGCTAGCAGGTTCTTTCTTTGAAAAATCCTGATAATATGTTTCCTCTATTTCTATATTTTAGATCAAATAATATCACATTAACATTGGGCTGGAATATAATTTCAAATGCTGGAAGATTACTACATATTCGAGGCAATGGTTCAACATCGTTTATATTTCCAGATAGTTATACAACAAGTCGCGGAACATAAAAAATCAAAATGATTGTTCGTTGCATATCAAGTAGTTAGTTTCATCTTTTATTTTTGATTTTGATGACTATGTTTTGTTGTTCTTTTTCATTGTTGTTGTTGAGATTTCGATTTGTGTTTTCGTTATGGTTATTGCTCGTGTGTTTCTTGATTGCTCTTAAAAAAAGGATACGTTTAGCGGTTATTGTTTTTTGAATCAGAAAATTCTGTTATATATTCAATGGAATATAACGAATGGAAGGTGGCATCACTCAGCATCACCCTTCTTCCCATGTTATCTGTCCATATTATGTACAAAACGCAGCAGAATAAATCGTAATAGGTCGAACAGATTCTTACATTTAATGCCATTTGTATTTACTGATATTGTTGCTGTAAACAACACTTTTAAAACGTAATTTAAATGCTAGTGGCAAGACTTGTAGAATAAATGTAATGTATTCATATGTTTTGCAGCTAATGTTTTGATATTGAAATTTATTTTAACCAGAGCTTTCGAATCGACAGAGTCATCTTCAGTGAAAAAAATCGAAGATGAATCTATCGATTCGAAAGCTCTGGTTGAAATAAAGTTCGGTATTAAAATACATTAACTGCAACAAATATGAAAGCACTTTTAAAATTCTAATCGAAACAAAGTAAAACAGAATAGTTTTGAACAAACCGATTAAGAAAGAAACTGATAACTACTGTAAAAAGCGAAATTACCTTGATAAAATATTCCTTTTTAATGTGTTAATAGTATTTAGATAAGTCAAAGTGTTGAAATTATTTCGATTCGCATTACTGAAATGACAAATAGTCGGCTTCATAACCAACGTTCTATTTGTTGAAGAGAGACTGGCAGTTGCACAGAAAGTAGTAAATAAACATAATTTATCACAGATAGTTTTGAAACTTCAATATTACGATTATATTTTTATACATAAACGTTTTGCCAATGCTAAATGAAATAATGTTTGTAATATGATCTAAATAATATGTAGCAACAATTAATAAGCCAATTTTATACCGTTCATCAATTTTGACGGCAAACTCTGTAGTCACCTTGCATTTCACCTAAAACTTTGGTAAAATAACAGTGCTAGTCAATGATTTATACATCAATTTGTAACTCTAAAAAAAGGTCTATCCTTTATAAAACACCATTTTTTTAATCATAAACTTGAAAAAAAATCTATACCACAGCGAAGCATCCAAATATTCTGAATACATTTTACACGATCAACACTCAAGTATCTCTGAGTCTACTACAAAAGTCAACTATCGTTCTTGAGATGAAAGAGATATAAAAATATTTTTTGCATTTTGTAGTATATCAAATAACTCGAAATCAACAAAAGAGCTAATATCTGAGCAAGTCTTAATTTAATTAATTAATTTTTCATTAATTTGAAACTAAGCTTTGGAAATATTTATTAAAGATGGTATATCTGAGAGTGCATACGATTTCTCAGATAAATGCGGATACGACGAAAGTCAGATCAAGCATATTCCTTTCCGTTGCCAATAATTTTTGAAAATAGTTTATACAATAGATACATCTATGAAATATCATACAAAACAAGACAAAAGAAAAAACAATGAATCTACAAGTTTATCGTTCATTCTAATAAAAATTTGTCCAACTTTAACATGTACAAACAATACAGTGAGAAAAAGAGAATAAAAAGCCATAATATATAACCGAACTATCTGAAGATGACTATAATTTACACACATTGCTCGATTGTTTCACCAAGCAATTTCAACATTTGAAAATATATAATTATCCGCTTGTTGCATAATGGAATCAAAACGATCAAATAACTAGAAAAGTAAAATAAAATGACAACAATTGCTCTAATGAAATAAATTGAAATCTTGTTCAATTTTAAAATGACAGTTGATGTATTTTGTAACTGTACTTGATACATTGATTACACTAGTTTATAACAGTAATAAAGAATAATTACCTCTTGTAACCACGCTGAATCACCACAGATAGCGCTAATTAAGTCAGCCGCATCAGCATTTGGATTCAGTTCTTGTAATTGAGAAACCTGTAATCAAATATAGTTAAGGGAAGAACGTTGAATAGATTCTTTCCTTACTTTTGTTTGTGCATTATAAAATAAATGAAATATATGATGTTTCAAAGCGTGAGCTGTACTTGCCATTGCTGCAATGTCTTCACAAACATAAACTTCCTTTGAGAGAAAAGCAAATACCTAATGATTAGCCTAGCACTAATGAGATTATAAACATATTACTAGTGGTTGTAAAGGTTGTTCATTCTCTTTTAAATTTTCTGAATCATATTGGCATCCATGAAAACGTAATGTATGTGAAACAGGTTGTGTTTTGTCCTCGGTTACCTAAACGATAGAGACTCTTAGCTACTAAATTAGCAAAATACTGCTTTCGAGCATACTTGACAATGCAGTTGTGGACGCTGTTGTTCGATAACATCCAATAAAGAATATTTGGCAACATAACACTGTAAATAAAAAGTATTTAATTATTTATATTAGCAAAATAAGAATGAATAGTTTCTATCAGTACAATCTCATGACTGACAGTCTGATCGTGGGATTTTTACAAAATGCTTCTAAAAGATCATTATGGTAAAAATTATGACGTTATTGCATAGATACACAAGAGAGCAGATAAAAAAATGCCTTGAAATCTATGAGATTAAGATTAAACTTATAGACCTACTGCACACGATTTTTCGAAACGAAAGTGTATCTGTTGACTAGGATATACAAAATAGTTCTATTGAGATATGCATTACAATTAGAATGTGAGACCGTACTGTCTTCTTGTTTGTCCTATTGAAGAACAGCATTAAAAAAAGAAACAGAGTCAACAAATTGTGAAATATGAAAACATACCGGAAAAGTTTCAATTGTCTTTCTTGATTGTATAACATAATTATAACGCTGTTCTAAAATTTCATCTATTAAACGAATGTATGTTGCATATTCATCTAAAGAGAAAAAAACTCAGTAATAATCGAGGAGTCAACTAATATTTACCATTATTTGCTTTAATTCTCGGTAAAACATCGGCATCGTAAACATGATTAACTAATACTTGTGCATAAACATCATGTTGAATACGAACAGCACTCATATGACCATGAATTCTTGAAAACATATACAGCAAAAACAATATATGTATGTTGTATACAACTTATTCAAAAAAAATGACATATTTTCTTCGAGTTAGAGCAATCGTACTGAGCAAAAATTTCTTTAAAGTGTGTCAAAATGATAAGTTGACGAAACAAGTTTAGTTTACTTTAATTTAATAGGATGTGCTTCATTAGCTATGCGAACTACTTCTTGATTGTTATGTAAACCCTTTAATTCACATTTTAACGGTACATAATCGTCAAATACGTTTGTATAAAACATTCCCTAGAAACAACAGCAAGATATTAGTTACAAGGTAAAAACTTATCAAATGAATTGAATTCAAGCGTATTATCCACGTTACCTTGTCGACTTAGTAATAGCTATTACTCACGATTTTCCAACAGTGTTGTATGCAGGAAGATATGGCGTACAACTTTTCTGCTCTTAAAAGTTCTGAAGTATATAGAACTAAAATTATCCTAACAAGTGGGCATTTTCTTATAGCTTATTCACTTGTATCGATTGTCAAATCGCGTCGTCGGAAACTGTCGATCTGTATATCGCTAAGCTTTTATACAAAAGCTTCAACACACACGTAGCATAAAAAGGATTTATTATTTTATCTCATGTTAAGCTTTTGCAAACAAAGATTTCTTAGAAGTACACCTAAAGTGAAATTTTATCTCCTAGGTAAAAGCATAAAGAAATGACTCACTTCATCAGTGGCTTCCCAAGCAATTTCTCCATCAGCCAAAACTGTGTCATATTTGAGTAACAATGTTTTTGTATGAACTTTCCATATCGGAAAATGTAATAAATTAAGAAAATATCCTTTGTAAAGTAAAAATTGACCTATTTCAAATGGTATTTCAGGTCCCATTTCAGTCACTAGAAAAACAACATTAGAATGAAAGTGACTGTCTTATTTCTGTTCAGTTGATAAGACTTGCCTTCTTCACCATACGTTGTATCTGTCTCAACAGCAGCTGTCACCTGATTGTAACCATCCGTTTGTTGTCTACTATCAGAAATTATTGATTGCTGCTGTTGTTCGTTTAATTCCATTTGATGTGGCAACACAGTTGTCTGAGACTCATTTTTATTTCGTAAATCGACTTCGGAATGCATTTGTTCATTTTTAATTCCATATGTTTCAGAATTTTGTTTGTCTATTTCCATATAAGATGGGTTTAATATACTTTAATAGAAAATAAATCACAGACCGTGCTTTAAGCTATTTTAATCAAAAACTTACGTTGTCTGTGGATTAATATTTCCTGAGTCAATAAATATGTCTTCTGCTACTGCACTTGAAGTTGACGGAGCACTTGAGTCAGCTAATAAAGCATCTGCTGCCTAGAACGTCAACAATCTTTCAGAAATTTATACGTGCATTTGGTGATACTTACTTTTTCATGTTGACTTCGGTTATTGACATGTGATAATCTTTGATCTAGAATATCTTCAGATAAAAAGCCAATTGTGCTTTGTGATGATGGAGCTTGTTGTTGGTTGTGATGATCAAATGACGGACTAACCATTTCTGTTAATTGACTAAGTATAGCTAGAATAGAATGAAATACGTACAAACTATAGAATCTATTAAAACAGGCTTGTCTGAGTACCCGCAGCCGATGCTGTTGCCGGTTCAATACGATTATCGCCTATGGATGTTATCGTTTGACTTTGTTCAAGCTCTGACGGTTGAATAACTGTCATCGTAGTTCGGCCAAGTTGATTTAACAAATGTTGTGGAAGAGTAATTGTTGTCTGAATAAATAACAGAGCAGTAGGTATAAAAAGTTAAAGTAAAATAATACTTACAGTTCCATCCATTAAACTTGGCACAGTTTGAAGAACAGCAGTTGGAATAGTTGTATCATTACTGGTATTGTTCACTGCGTTACGAAATAAACCAGTTAAATTATTGATATACTGTTGTTGTTGATTATTAACATCACGTAACGGATCACGATTGTTATTTTGATTTGAAAATGTAACTATTGGTTGTTGACGAGGTGTAAGCGTAATTGTTTGTGGTAAAAATGCCGTTGTTGTGTTGCTGCTATTAGCAACAGGCAAGTTTTTTAATAGTGGATTAATTTTGACGCCTTTCGTATCATCATAAATTGGTCTTCCAATTACCATTATTTCTTCAGTCCGTGATTCATCATTCAAAATATATGTTTGATAGCCGCATGTAGAACCAATATTTGTTCCGATCATATTAGCTCCATTGCCAATATATAAATTTTCTTTTGGTTTACGTAAAACTGGTTCATTAGCCAACATTTCTAACGATGGCACTTTTTCACCAGCAAGAAATTTCAAAAATGCATTTTGAAATGAATTTTCTTTGGGATCGTAACGTATTTCAACTTAAAGACAACAAATAGAAATTTTGATATTATCGAACTGTCCACTTGTAAAAGCATCCATACATACTTGGTTTACGTTTTGGCGGTGGAGCATTAACACGTTGAACAGATTCTTCCACATTTTGTACATGAAATGCACTAGAATTAATCTGAACAAGAAATTAAACAATGCTAAGCACTCAAAGTAAAATTCTACGATTGAAAAAAGTGTTATAACCATATAGTTGAAATGATCGCTTACTTTGCTTTGAAATGATGATTTATGTGATACCATTGATGGATTAACTGTTGATGGTGCAATAGGTTTTTGGGTTGTTGGTTTTGGTGCTATATGAACAGGTTGAGATATTGGTGCTGTAGCTATTGGTACGGGTGCAATTTGTAAGATTTGCTCAAGACCGTTTGAACGCGCCAAATTATGTTCGTTAAATTGTGGAAATAACGAACCTGTAATATTAAAAAAAAAGGATGGAATAATCAGATCATAAAATTTTACGGAGATGATCCCAAGGGAAGACGTCGTAGATAAAGTTCAAATCAGCGGTGTTGTGTATGTATTTAGTTTTATTCACGATGTATATCATATATCCGTTCTCAACATAAGAATCATCATTTTTGAACTTCGTGTTCCACAAGTAAAAGATTCTATAGGTAGCCTTTCACAAACCGTCTTGAAGTAATGCTGTAATATCTTGATCTTTATCAATGATGACATATTGATCTTGTCCCGAATCGTCTGTAATAATGAGAATCTGTTGATTTTCTGTAATATGATTTTGAAGTTGATTAATTAATTCGGCTTGATTTGAATTTCCATCTTGAATAATCACTAATTCGTTATTTCCCCCTGGTAAAACATTAGCCGTCTGCAAAACCTGCGCTGGAATAAGATTGCCAAACATTTACAATTCAAATTTAGTGTATAGATAACCAAAAGAATTCGAGTTTATCTAAAATAAAATTATCTAAAATTTCTCTGCTCTGAAGATATCTAAAATGCAGCGGTAGCTCGGAACTTAAGTAAAAAAGACCAAGGAGATATAAACACGTTCTAAATCTTTCATTTCATTACACACTATACTATGCTCTTCACTGTCGCGGAAAAGCACCGCAAAAGGAAGTATGCTAACGGCATGGAACAAATGTGCCGATGGGGCGGTGAAAGATTAACTGGCATGCTTCAACTATGCCATTGGTACATTTTGACTGGGCATTCGTATCAGTACATTCGTTCCATTCCGTCAGGAGAGATGTGCTGTTGGAATGCTTTTACCATGCCGTTCGTGCTACGCTTTGTGTGTGATAAAAGCAAATTTACTCTCACAATTTTTACAGCGCGCTGGAAGTGCGTTTTGATTATGACGTATGTGCGTTGGTACTTCTACAGATTCAGTACATCCTCACTCTCACACACTATTTATAGAATATAAGTGGTCGATAAAAACATATTAGTTGCTAAGTCTATATGGGCTTTACTCCCTCAATACAGACTCACCTTTGCCACAATCCCGCAATAACAGGAAAATCAATGGTTTTTCGCCTCCAGTAGTTGTCTAAACTTACGTCTAAGGGTGACTGAACTGTGCTAATAGAAGAACGCTTGTGCCAGTTTTAGTGTCAATGCTTTTTTTACTACACGCTTTTAGTGTACTGATTACCAATGGCACTTCCAGTGTGCTATTGGTTCTAAAGTGTGACCATAGAATACTCTTTGGGAAAATGTGGAAGAGAGTTACAAACAAAAAAACACACATAAAGTGCCTTTTTTTGTTACCCAAACCATACTAAAAAGTACTACACAGAAATTGTATTCTGTTCTATTGGAGACTGAAGGTTGAGATGACTTTTGCATGCTATCTGAACACTTATACCGTACTCTTCTGCGACAGTACTGTCAACGTTTCTGATTATTAGTGAATATCTATATATTCATATATATATACTTTGGAAATCTGAAATTTACTGTTTTTCTCACGTAATAAGAACAAAAATCCACTTTGTTTCTTTCTTCTCTGAATCAGACAATGAAAACAAACAAAGTCAACGATTACTCATAAGTTTGTGTCAAAATCAAATCCTCTTTCTGCTCTCTTCGTAAAGAAGCGATTTTTTAATCTTCAAGGGATCGTATCACAAAAAAACTTAAGTAAAAGGGTGACTTAAGTCATGGGAAATGTAATCTTAAACTTAAGTCATTGACGCATCTTTCGAATAGCTCAGGCATTTAACAATACTATTCGACGAAAACGACATTCTTAGGGTTAGAGAATAAATATTTCGTTATTTTGCGGTTTTTTGTCCCAAGTTTGTCACTGTTGTCAATGATTTTCAAAAAGTAAACAAATCGCCAACTTCAGTCTTTTCGTGATCCAGTTTAAGTCCCCGGACTTAAGTCGGTCTTAAACTGAGACTTAAGTTTTTTCGCGCTACGACCCCCAGTACTAAAATGGGGTGGTACTGGACTACTCCCAGTATTCAGAGTAGAATAATTCACGTTGATTAATACACGCAGTTAGTATGTAAGACAGAAATGTCGAAAAAGATAGGTAAGATGATCTAAAACGTTGATACTGGAGAAATCATCGAGTAGTTTATGTACAATTGTAATAATATAAGTCTTTAATTACAACTAATCTTGAAAATGTAAGATTAGTTATTATATTTTGTTTGATAGGACGCTCATCAAATATAAAGTCATTTTCTTTTGAAAAAAAAATGTTGAAAACGCCGTTACATAGATTGTTATAACTTATCTAAGGAACAACTATGTCGTTAAAATTTAAGCTATACTTGAAGAATACGCGTAATTAATACTAAATATTAAGTATTGACTGCTGATCGAAATTTTGCTTTTGTATGGTATGATTCTGTTCAATTTTCTTGTATTATTGAGTATATATTCGTCTTCTTTTATATAACAGTGTAGCAAAATCGATTGCTATTCTTTGTTCTTTAATTTGAGTTCTGAGAATTTATAGAATATTTGTTACATTAACATTGAAACAAAGAGTCTGTTTTTTATGAGTTTATAAGGATTCGAAACGACCTTGAGTTATGCACCGTAGAATCTATTTGTGACACAGTATTGGCATTATAGCATAATACTATTTATTTGTTTCTTGTTTATTGTTTCAGCACACATTTGTGGACATAGTCGAAGATTATATGTACCAGTGCATTGTGTTTAATGCTGTTCACGTAATATTTTCATTGTTGTTGTTCGCGCACAAGCGTCCATTCAATCATGTACGTTTTTTAACGTGTTAGAAGTAAGTAAAACATTTCTGGATATTGTTTCTATACATTGGAAGGCTTTTATTTCAAGATTAGTAATCGGTTCTTGCTACCGCTAAGACATATGCTGTCTGCACAATAGCAACAGAAACACGTCAACAATATAATGCTGAAGAGCTATTTTTATAGGTTACCAATAAGTGTTTATAACGTTATACCAGATGTTTCTTCCATGTAGCAAGGTAGATATGTCATAAAAATTTGTCTATTTTGGTATGTTCTATCCGTTGGTAAAATTGCTTTTTCTATTAATTCAGATCCATTTTGAATGCTTTATCAGTGATTTTACAATAATAATAATTAAACTGGCACTGATCTATCATCATCAAGTAGCAAAAATCTGAATGAAATATCGTTTCGTGATGGTCAATACAATTATGATTGTTTATTAATTGATCAATCTTCTTGACAAATCTTGAAAAATCAGAAATCAAAATGGCATAACAACGGTGATCAAATAACAACTACTACATTAAAACTGTTTTTGTACTCAGTTTTCACCAAGATCTCTTACCTTAATATTAGACGAATTACTGGACAAATTTTGAGAATTATAACAGATAAATAAAATCAAAACATTTTTTAGTTTTATTCACAATATTTCAGCCTTAACTGGTCATTATGAAGTGAAAAATAAAACTGTGAAAAATGTAAATTTAT